CCTTGATTGCCAACGGGTTCTTCTGTTATTCGATCAATCCCGCTTAGATTTCCTTTGGGAATATCCGTAGTCCCCTGAAGCGAAAAACCAGTCACATGAACACAATGAAGGATGGACCCTTCGTTGAATGCGATATCAGGGACACTTGATTCTTCTTTGGAGTTGAACGGGACTAGATACAGCGTGACGGATACCATGTACTTCTTTTTGAGGGAGAACGGGATGCTCTCTAAAGCAGATTTGGATTCTCGAAAGTTTGCGGAGCGTTTGAAATCAATAAGGTTGAGGTATGAACCTCTCGCAAACTTGCGCTTCGTAAAAATAGTCATGGAAATATCAACCCAGCCGGTTTTTTGCGCTTCAGGTTTGGCTATCCATTCCCGGGCTTCCTTGACCGTCTTGATTACTGGGGTTGAAAGAGTGCGTTGCATAGCTGCTACGTGTTCCAAATCATCGTCGCTTTCTTGAGGTGTCGAGCCTCCGGCGGTATTGTCTTCGGTGCTGCTCATGGTGGTTCAGAAGGGGTTGTGGGGTTTGAGCTTCATTGCTTAACTTCCCCGCGTCTGCTATTGGCAAATAAAGTTCTACGATTTACGATGTCTACATTCGTCTCGAAAACTCTCCTCCATTCCCATGGATAGATTTTGATAGCTCTGGAGCCAGAGCTATCAAAATCGGTTATGATACTTCAACTTTGAATGCTAGGCCATTCCGTGTAATGTCGGTGATACTTCAACTTTGGATGCTAGGCAATCCCTTGCATTGTTGGTCGGCACGAAGAGAGGAAGCCTCTTCGAAAGACGCTCGCTGAGCACAAGACGTTTTTTAGTATCGGAATATGCCGTTTTACTGATTATATTATCACTTGCCTGAATTCGGGGTAAATTTTGAGAAAGTTGCCAAATACGAAGCTTCGAAAACCCTCGGAAAAATATGAGGATCCGTTTGTTTAATGTCAACTTGCGGATTGCGGGGGTCTTACTTATTATCATGACGCCTGCCGAGGAAAAGCGACTGGCCTACGACCGCAAAAAAAAAAAAAACGTCAGAAGCGAGCCCAGCGCGATACAAAAGATGAAAGCGAGTTTCCTACCCCGGTTCCTGCGAAAACGCTGAAGCAGATACAGCAAGAGTGTATACGACGGCTTTCGAACGCGTGCCTTCAGGAGTTTGTGTGTTGCGTTTGCGATTGTTGGCACCCAGTCGCTGATATACTACAGAAAACGGTAAGGGCGTCGCCCCAGCTTTTAAAAGCGATGGCGAAACGTCTAAAATCACCTCAGGGTCTACATGAAGAGTTACTAATGTGCTACGATGTTTCGAGTCAAATACCGGCTCTGAAAGGAGCGTTACTCTCTCCGATGGGAATCAACAACGGCGGACGCGAG